TGGAATATTGACCATCCCACGTTAACAAAGTTTAAAAAATCCATTTATCGTTAGGTTCTTCAAAGTTGTTTTTTTTTTGTCATAAAGACATCTATTTATAAGACAATCAAAGATAATTTTTTTCTTCTCAAATCAAACTCATTATATTTCTCAAAGGTTTTTATTTCAATTAGATTCCAGCAGTGAATCAAAAGGAGAAAAAATTAACTTCCTACAGCGATATGGATATAAAATTACCCTTGTTAAATACAAATCGTGATTTACAGCTTCTATTTCTGTCAGTACCTGTTCTGTTGAGAAAAGATTTGAAAATTCTGGCTTTGCCATACAGTCTAGATTAGCAGCAGAACGGGTAATGAATGGTCACCACTACGAAAGGAACAAATCGCAAACATAGCAGTGAAACTCTTCACCACTTACAGAAACATGAGGATCTCGACAAATTATCACCAGCTTAGTTGAATATTTGATTCTCTCGTGAACATGAAATAAAATTTGCCTCAAAATTTTATGAAAACTATTCAATCAACATAAGAACATGTAGCAAGATATACGGAGAATATGTAATATTATGCTTTCTGGTCTGAAGAACTGTGTTGCAAAGTATTTGTAAAAGTATATCCTTTCTTCCAATAAGGGAAGCTTCCTGGTTTCAAATGAATGACGAACTAATTTTCTTTGTTCCATTAACTTGATTACAAACGATTGATAATCTTGTCCGTGTTTATTATGGTCCTATATTGAAGGTGCTTTTTAAAAATTGTCGCGCTATCAGGTTTCACTGCACTTTAATTATGTATGGCTTTTCTTCTTTCGAAATAAAGAATTGGAATACTTTACTTGAAAAGTAGGACAAAGTAAATTGATTACAGTAAACTGATTACAGTTAATTGATTACAGTAAATTGTTAACAGTTCCTGTCTGAAGATTCATTGACCCCCCCCTATGCCTGTTGTTTCTGTAATTCCAGAATCCGGAAATGACGAAGCTCTCGCAAAAGAATCCGTAACCAACCAACCAAACCACCAGACCGCAATAACATAATATATGTTATCCTTTAAAGATGGCGGCATTTCTAACTCAAAATGGCCGACTCCTTCACAATTTGCTTCACCGTTGCCGTATAAACGTTTTACTACGTCTTATGTTGCTTAGTTTTTTCAATCGGTGCCGATCTGGTTCCCGATGAAACATTTCTATGATCGGCTCGATTGTCGTCTTTAATCGCTTCTAATCGTCCCCTCCTTTGACTCGATTTAGTCCCGAACAATGGCGCTAAATTTACTTAAGTGGTCGTTTCTCCAAGGACTGTTTAGGTCCCCATAGTACCCAATCGGGTGTTGTTAATCGGTTTTTTTTTAAATCGTCGGGATACTGCGACCACTGTCGTAGAGCATAACAACGAAACAATGAAGACACCAAGAGGAATATCACAGGCCGTACCCATGCATCAATTGTTCACGACATTTACACCAATTTACCCCCTACCTTTACCACTGACAGCACTGACATACAGACGCCATTTAGGACACCAATTGATCCAAAGCACCGTCTCGACTCATAGATTTTTTGACATTAAAACTATACAGATGTCAAATATGGAGATTGAAATTGGTGTCTAATTTCAGTGCAGATTGATTCATTGACATTTGGAGTTATCAGAATTGTAAGATACCTGATACGATATTTAACTGTCTAGAACTGTTGTAATGAGAGAAATGTTTTTGATGTGAAATGTCTCGCCGTTTCTTCTATTTCATAGGGGATATGTGAGTATTGTTACGTGTCTATCAGTTGTGATAGGCCAATAACAAACACACGTTAGACACTTATCTTGTAACCACCAACAATACGTTTATATCAATCCCATAGACGAAACCTGGTTTCGTTCGGCTGGAATGGGCTCCGTGTGGTGCAGGCTGTGCACGTTAAGAATGCCTCAACAGTTCGAGATAAAAAAAAATATTAGGCTTTTGTCGTTGAAAAATTGCCCTCATACTGCATGACGTTGTCTGTCTTCGGCCTGCAATTGGGTATAGAAATGTAGGACGTGAAACTCGTTTCATTTCCATAGGCAGTGACTCCATGACACAAACATAGCACGTTGCGCGTACAAAGCAGTGAATCGTCAGAATTAATTTCATAGTATAAAATATTTTTTTACTAACCAAAAAGGAGCCTTTACTTACTACTTTAAGACTGGACAATATTGCAATTAAAGAAGTCGATTTTCATAAACATCTTGATTTCCCAAAAAATTGTAAATAAACTTTTATTGATGTTCAAAAATTTTTAATACTCCCGCTTTTCTTTCAAACCTTGTACAATATTCCAGCACACCTTATAATCTTAGAGACAGTGATAACCTTTCAGAATACTTTTGTAAAACCGATATATTTTCTAAATCTTGTATACCATCTACTATCAACTGCTGGAATAACCTACATCCTTCAATCAAAAATTCACCCTCCATTTCAATTTTTACAAATAAACTAAAAATTAATGATTTAAATATCCACAGCATTTTTACTATGACACCCGCCTGCCTCCGTCTCTCTTGCAGCGTCATTCAACATATGAGACATATATCCGACACTCCCACTTGTATTTGTGGTCATGAATACGAAGATAACCAACATTTCCTTGCAATGCAATGTACGAAACCACGATAAGCCTAATCTCACACCAGTGGAACGTGGAACTGGAATTGATTACAGTAAATTGTTAACAGTTCCTGTCTGAAGATTCATTGATCCCCCCCCCCCCCCCTATGCCTGTTGTTTCTGTAATTCCAGAACCGGAAATGACGAAGCTCTCGCAAAAGAATCCGTAACCAACCAACCAAACCACCAGACCGCAATAACATAATATATGTTATCCTTTAAAGATGGCGGCATTTCTAACTCAAAATGGCCGACTCCTTCACAATTTGCTTCACCGTTGCCGTATAAACGTTTTACTACGTCTTATGTTGCTTAGTTTTTTCAATCGGTGCCGATCTGGTTCCCGATGAAACATTTCTATGATCGGCTCGATTGTCGTCTTTAATCGCTTCTAATCGTCCCCTCCTTTGACTCGATTTAGTCCCGAACAATGGCGCTAAATTTACTTAAGTGGTCGTTTCTCCAAGGACTGTTTAGGTCCCCAAAGTACCCAATCGGGTGTTGTTAATCGGTTTTTTTTTAAATCGTCGGGATACTGCGACCACTGTCGTAGAGCATAACAACGAAACAATGAAGACACCAAGAGGAATATCACAGGCCGTACCCATGCATCAATTGTTCACGACATTTACACCAATTTACGAAACCACGATAAGCCTAATCTCACACCAGTGGAACGTGAAGCGTTAAACTTACTTAAGAAGACGATAGCATTGTTATTAAAAGAGTAAATTGATTACAGTTAATTGATTACCAACATTAACCAACATTTCCTTGCAATGCAATGTACGAAACCACGATAAGCCTAATCTCACACCAGTGGAACGTGAAGCGTTAAACTTACTTAAGAAGACGATAGCATTGTTATTAAAAGAGTGATAAAGGTTCATGTTGTGTCATTCTGAATAGGGAGGATTACGTTTCAGAAGCAGAGAATCAACTGAATAATCCTAAGCATTATGCCATTTTACCGAAACCAATTTTCAAAGAAACTGCTAAAATAATAAACAATATTCTTGGCAATTTAGTCAAAACAAGTTATCTCAAACAGAAACAATATGACTATCGGTCTGCCAAACCTGATTATCATTTATACATTTTGCCCAAGGAGTGGTTTATCCATAATAGAATCCCTAAAGGCCGCCCGATTATATCTGACTGTGATTGTGAGTCGTATGCAGTGTCAGAATACATTGATCATTTCTTACTACCACTAGCAGGTGGCTAGTTCGTAAAACTTCAAATAGATACTAACGATGCAATTCTAGCTTTTAGAGATTTGTCTCAGTCGCAACGATTTCACATTTAATGGTAAAACATATCTACAAACTCCAGCGACAGCTATCGCCCCTTCGTACGTAAACCTTTTCATGGCCGAGTGGGAACGTGAGGTATAACCCCTTTGTCCATTTGACCCACTTTTAAGGGACATCAAGGTGTATTTTAAAGAAACTGATACTCATCAACTTTTGCACAAGAGCTCATTTCACCCACAAGTCACAAGTCTTACGATTCCACCGCATTTGCACAAGATCTTCTGATTTCGACCAAGCCTGTTCGATTGTTTTCTCAAAACTGAAAGATCGTGGGTACTCCCAACGATTTTTACGAAACATAAAAAATTCCACTTCAGCGCTGATAGCAGCTAAAAACGGACTTTATGCCGAAGTACCTCCAGGTTTAAGCAGTGTTCAATGTTTGTCCAGTAGATGCAAAACATGTCCTTTATATCAGAAACTCATTATTTTTAAGTAACTTTACGAAAGAAAGGTACCCGATCTAGGAGTATCCAACATGTGAACACTCGAATGTAATATATATTTAATTTCATGTAAGAAATGCCCCAAACAATATGTAGGAGAAACTACGAATAATTTACACACTCGTTTTAATGCTCACAGATCGGACATCAAATTAAATAAAGACAAGCTTGTGTCTAATCATTTCAACCTCGACGATCATTCACTAGACGATCTCACCCTAACCCCAATTAAGCGCATAGAAATGGACTTGCTGCAAGATGAAACTATTGAAATTCTGCCAATCTTGGATTGACACATGAATACAGCAAGACCTATAGGACTAAATATTTTCATCATAATGCAGGCATAGCACCCTTTGTTGTCCCCATCAAAATCACAAGTAATCGAGCAAGCAAGATAGTTCATGCCTACTATAAGAGTCTTCAAGAAAAATTCCCCCATGTCTATAAGCAGAAAATGATAGTTGCGTATTAAAATAAAACAGAACTTTAATGACAATCTTGTTCATAGTAAACTAAAATCAATCAGTACATAACAGGTAATATACTAATCGGCGTTTTTTTTCTAATTTCAGATCAGAAAGGAAGAGAATCCAGACCCTTTATCCCAATTTCTCAATAAAGTATTTGTTCCAACCTAGGCCTGTACATTTTGGAGAATCAAACCCTCCCTTCCCCGAAATCCAAATAATTACCAATATAAATTTTATAAAATCCATAAGTTATAAAAGTAAGACTGTAGCATGTCATCTGTATGTTTTTCTTAATTACATGTATATATTTATTGTTCTTTCTTTGTATTTTGTATATATATTCTATTTTTATTGAGAGGGTACTATAGGCGAAAGAATAAAATACTAACTGATAAAGGCTCAATTTTTTCCCTCCGTATGCAATAGCCGAATCATTTGCAGAGATGTATGACGTTTCATTTCATTTCCCTTGTATTGTAATTATTGTAAATGGACCGAAGACGTTAATGGACATTCTAGTGATATCTATTGGAATGCTATCAATAACCAAGTTTTATCTCCTAAAATAATCAACTATCTTATACTGTATTGTTTAACTCCATTTTATTATTGCGATCTACCTGATTAAAACATATCAAGTTATTGGCATTTGAACAAACATTCTTGATTAGAATCTCTACACTAGACTATCCTACAATAAATCTATGACGATATGTTACAAACTTGTCCAAATATGATGGATTAATTTCTGGACTCGTTGCCCCGAGTTTCTCCGTGAGAAAGATGAAGTTTTAAACAAGGGCTAATGGGCGCTACTTCACTCATGTACCTCTTTACGATTTTAACTTTTTATCCACTAAAACACCACATGCTGATGTTCTAGACTACGATATATTGGGGTTTTGAAAGCTTGTTTCTGGACATAACGGGTCACTGAATGAACCATAGTCCTCGAGAGACATTCTCTATGTTTGTGGGTCACATTCTTAATAAATGAAACGGTTCCGATTATCAAATCTGATTTGGGCATGATACTGAAGTGAGATATGTTTAGGCCTCAGATATCGGTAATTTGAAGCGTAAGGTACTTCACAGTATTTATGGAATTTTACGAAACGTCCAAATTGTGCGATACGAAGTATCAAAAAAAAAAAAATATTTTCACGCAACGATATTATATTAAATTTGTATTTTTACGAATCGTCTCGGATTTTCTATCTTGACCGTCTTTCTATTAACTATTGAAGGTTTCCTTTTATCGACATTCGAACATTTTCTATGAAGAGTGCGATATATTTACGATTAACAAAATCGTTTTAATGCAGGTGTTTTTTTAGCGGATAAAAAATAAAATCGTAAAGAGGTACATAAGTGAAGTAACGCGACAAAAGATTCAGATTTGCATTTTTATCAGATTGATGCGGACTGAATTCGCTTCTTCTATTTCTACTGTATCGATTCCACAACGTTCACTGTATCGTACCCATACCTCGTCTATTAGCACCTTTACACAGTACATTATATATGTAAACCATCAATTTACTTGATAGTGGTATAACGAGCTACTTCTCAAATAATCATACATAAAAAGTGATCTTGAATTAATTACTCCGCTATTTGGTATGACTTATTGCAACAATTAAACTGAACAATGGGGGTTTAACAATAGCAATGAAATGAATTGGAGTTTTACGTCCTATATAAACAATAGAAGTATATCGTGAGAAATATCAGCAATCAATGATAATTATCATGTGAAAGAGTTTATAGATAATGACTTCTTATTAGATTGTTACGTATAGATGTGTCTTACAAGCATACTTCATTTTCGTAGGTATCAAAACATGTTTAAATAAAAGTACGTTAACATAGATTCAAGCCACGAACGTTTTTTTTTATCACCATTGATGTTTTGCCGAATATCTGCTTGCTATCTTTGGCAATATGTTCCGTGGTAAGACTATGAATGTTTGCACTGCTTCACTCCTTCTGTTTGATCTAAACTAATAACTGTAAGCGAGCAGGGACATTCTCACTCTGCCCAAACTTCTATTTTTTTTTTCATTTGTATTTTCTTTGATATTCTTTTCGGAATTTGTATCTAACAAGGAAGAAGTTTGTACATTTGACCTGGTCCTTGCCGATGGTTGCTAATAGATTATAACGTATGGTCAATCACAGATCGTTATAGCCTGGACATCTCGACCAATTTGCTTGATTTCTGTCAGTATTTCTACCCTAACCAATATTTACTCTTTAAATTACTTTACACTTTAATATGTAATAACTTGATTCATGTGGGAAAGTCGTGGAATGCGGCTTAGTGCCAGTGGCTTGTGATGCTGTCAATCCTTCTATACACATTTCTAGTTGATCTTTGTTTTCATATATATCACTGTCGTTATAAAAAAAATGGAATAGCGCTGTGAGTGACAAAGGTTTGGAAAATTTCAGAGCCAAATGAGGTTTATAAAATTGATGAACAGTTGGATAAGGAAAAAAAATTCTGTTTGTAAGAAGCTAATAAGCTAATTTAATAAAACTGAAATGAGCAATAATCATGTTACAAACATGAAGGAAAGTGTGGCCACGAGGTTTGCGCCATGTTGCAATGTATTAATTTGAGTCTTAAGTTGCAATAATCCGAGATAAATTACGACACTACTCGACAAATAAATTGATCACCCCAACTTTCTCCTATCAAGCATAATAATGGGGTTGCGAAATTCAATTAAACCTAGAAGTGAAAATATATGTTTGATAATAAATATCAAATTCATATTGAAATAAAGCAGAACTTCTGGAGAGTCTGAATAATCGCTTGTTGAACAGAACGTACTAACGACTGACAAATATACCATAAATTGCTATCAATTGCTGGTGTCAATTTTGTAAGTTGCTCGTGACTAAGGGAGCCTTTCTTGTACAAATATTCGCCCTTATATTATGAAAACAGAGAAAGTTGTTTAATCGATTATTGATTTCATGTAGCCATGTTATTTTTTGTATACAATTTATTGAAATTTCTAGACTATAGATCTTAAATTCAAATTGTGAGGTAATAAGATTAGGCTAACTGCAGACCATAACAAATCAGAATATATCGTTTTATTTTAACAAAGCTTTTACTTGAACTCGTATATCAAATTACATATCACACTGGAAATAAATATGTGAAGAAAAAATTTGTATTATAATATAGTTGACATTTGAATCTTTGTGATGCGACTCAGCATCGTAAAATGGTAGTATCCATAGTGAAGCTGCCTCTTAAAGCCAATGGATGAAGTTTCATGTCCTACTTTTATGTCCCTTTAAAAGGGATGGTGAAATAGAAAAATTTACCAGAATAGCTGCTTAATCCTTATCGTTAGCTCTGAGGGGTCACGAGCCGTTGAAATGAATCTAAGATCTAATTTTCGTTTGCAGTCCGATATTGTTATCATGTGATGTATGCTTACCAATCTTAACAGGTTAACAGTATGGCTAAGAGTATTTCATAGGTTGAATATGTAGGTTGAACATAAAAGTTTCGTTAGATCATGTATGACAAAGTGCAGTCACCCACAGAAAAGAAAAATTCAGACTTGGCCTATTCTTGATATAATATCCTCATTTCATCAAGGATTGTCCTTCTCAATTGCCCAATCTTGGCCAGATTGTCTCCGATGAAACATTTCTTTGATCATCCAGATTGTCGTCTTGAATCACCCCCAATCATCCTCTTCTTTGATCCAATTGAGCCCAGAACAATAGATTATCAGGGTGGGACGAATCGTGCGTTCTATATTTGCTTGCTATAGGGCCGTTTATCAAAGGATTGGTTTTTTTTCGCCCAAAAACAAAGAATAATCGGGTACTATCGGGGGAAAAGTCTGCTTGGTGAAATTGGGGTATCTATAAGAAAATAAAAAGAAAATTTTAATGTAATTTCCCGAATTAAAATTGTGATTGCCTTTGTAGATTCTCTCTATCTTTGCTCTATTCAAATTATTTCTCCCGACAATTAAATTGCCCAGTTTATTCTTAAATACAAACGTATTACGAACGTTTCTATACACATGGCTAATGGACAAACAAATATTTTCTTCATCATGTCATTAAAATCAGCAGGGAAAGCTGATTGCCTCTCACAGACACTATTCCTCTCCACTGAACACTGGTAATTATCTTGTGTATTTTATTTTATAACTACATCAACTCGCCTTTTGTTCCTTTCATAATAACAAAACTTCAAGCCTACGGAAACAGAATTTTATGATAGGAATTGCACCCCGACTGAACTTTACAATCGATAATTTTATTCAAGCTCACACTCAATTCTTTTTTTTATAGAAATTTATCCACTCAACTGTCAATAAGCAGGAATTTAAGGGTATTTTGTACTCTTTTTTTAATTTGGCTTTTAGAAAAAAAAGCAATCATTAAGGTCTTAAAGTTTACTTCTTTTATTTAGTTATCATAACGGTATACTACTTGTTCAAATATATAGAAATATAGATATATAAATATTGAGTTTGTCTGCAATTAGTTGAAACAGAATTTGAGAACCGGTTGTAACAAAGACGGTTAGAGCGTTTGGATCTTGACATGTCAAAGTGGGTTTTAATCTCAGTCGGCACATGAAAAACTGGTGACCTTGATTTCCTTATTAAAAGCCCCATAACATCTAATTTATCGTTCCATAAACAGTAGAGGAAGTTTTATGAACTTTGATTCATTTGGTTGAACTTTTAGTCGGTACAGCTCCGGCGAATGATAGCATGGTTGCTTAATAATAATATCTTTGTAATTGGACGAGTCTACAGTGCCTATTGAATCTGATTGATTGTAAATCCACGTCCGTTTTGATAATGGGGAACAATTAAAAAAATTCAGTTATTATGAAGATAGCTTGCCAGGCAATGTAATATACGCCCACTACACTACACCATTTCATGTGAGCGTATAAAAATGTTTTCAAATTGACAAAATTTGTGGAGGTTGCCATTTTGTTTCGGTTATAAACAACTGCGTTTGAGACGAATGATGGAAAATTGTAGTTCTTCTCAAAATAGAATCTTCGTAAGAAATACATTATGATATAAATACTTCATAAATAAAAACTACGAGCGCACTGTCATTGACATTTACAAATTTACTTTTATCA